TGCCTCCTCCGTTAACACTCTTCTTTTTTTGCCTTTTCGCAGTCTCGGTACCATGCAAGCGAGACAGCACACAATTCACCCCCCTTTTTCTCCCTTTTGTCTGTTTCTGGTGCAGGTACTATGTGAGGGAGGACGCGGAGGACGCGGTGAAATACGTCAGCAGCACGATTCTGGACGACCGGCCAATCAGAGTGGACTTTGACTGGGGCTACGAGGATGGGCGGCAGCGGCAGTGGGGGCGGGGAGGAGCGGCGGGCAAGTCAGGGACGAATACCGCACCGATTATGACCCAGATATGTGCCTCTCTCGCCTCTATCCGTCACATCTCTCCCTCCCCTCTCCCTCGTCTTTATGGTGGGCGGGGACAGAGCGGATGGCAAGTCAGGGACGAATACCGGACCGACTACGACCCAGATATGTGCCTCTCTCGCCTTTCGTTCGCCTCTCTTGCTTGCATCCCTCTCACCTTGATGGGCGGGGGAGGAGTGGAGGGCAAGTCAGGGACGAATACCGCACCGATTGATATGACCCAGATATGTGCCTCTCTCGCCTCTATCCGTCACATCTCTCCTCCCCTCCCCTCCCCTCGTCTTTATGGTGGGCGGGGACAGAGCGGATGGCAAGTCAGGGACGAATACCGGACCGACTACGACCCAGATATGTGCCTCTCTCGCCTTTCGTTCGCCTCTCTTGCTTGCATCCCTCTCACCTTGATGGGCGGGAGGAGGGAGGAGTGGAGGGCAAGTCAGGGACGAATACCGCACCGACTATGACCCAGATTTGTGCCTCTCTCGCCCAATTACTAGCTTTGTGTGCGTGTTAGTTGGTGCGTGCCTGTGAAGCCGGGGGGGCCGGGGGAGGAGCGGCGGGCAAGTCAGGGACGAATACCGAACCGACTGTGACCCAGATATGTGCCTCTCTCGCCCCGTTGCTAGCTTTATGTGCGTGTTAGTTACGGCATGCCTGTAAAGGTGGGGGGGCGGGGGAGGAGTGGAGGGCAAGTCAGGGACGAATACCGGACCGACTATGACCCAGATATGTGCCTCTTTTGCCCTGTTACTAGCTTTATGTGCTCTTGGTGGCAAGCTAGTACAGAAGGAGGTAGCAGCCATTTAGCAGTACGGCACTCCGCTCTTCATGCCGGCGCGGGGCGGTGAGCAGTCACTCTGCCTGTGCTGTGCATGCCCATGCTTGCTCCCCTGCGGCCTTCCCTCTTCCCCTCCCCACCCCTCCCTTCCCTCTTCCCCTCCCCACCCCTCCCTTCCCTCCTCTTCCCTTCCCTCCCTTCCACTCCTCCTTCCTCCTTCCTCCTTCGTCCTTCGTCCTTTCCCTTTGTGCTCTCCACCCTCCTTTCTCTCCCCTACTGCATGACGAGGGGGGTACGGCAAGCTACTGCACCCTGCCATCCAGCAGTACGGAGCTTGATTGTCCCCCCTGCCCTCCCCCCTCTCCTTCTGTGCGCTCCCTCCCCTTCGATTCCCTTCCTCTCTTGCACCGCGAGGGGGCTACGGCAAGTTAGTACAGAAGGAAATAGCGGCCATTCAGCAGTGCGGGGCATGATTGTCCCCCCTGCCGCCCCCCCTCTCTCTTTGTGCATCCCTTCCCTCCATCTCCTCCCTACTGCACGGCGAGGAGGATACGGCAAGCTAGTACAGAAGAGTAGGATAGCGGCCATTTCAGCAGTACTGAGCGCGCTTTTCATGCCGGAGAGGGGGGCTCAGCCGATTTGTGCTGTGTATGCCCATGATCGTTCCCGTGCCCTTCCCCTCTTCCCCTCCCTTCTGCCCCTCCCTGCTTCCCTACTGCACGGAGAGGAGGCTACGGCAAGCTAGTACAGAAGGAGGATAGCGGCCATTCAGCAGTACTGAGCGCCACTCTTCATGCCTGGAGGGGTTGGGGGGCAGTCCCCTCTGTGCTGTGCAGTGTGCATGCCCATGATTCTTCCCCCCTTGGACTTTCCTCTCTCCCTTTGTGTGCTCCCTACCTCTCTTCTTTTCCTCCCTGCATGGCGAGGGGGCTACGGCAAGCTAGTACAGAAGGAGATAGTGGCCATTTCAGCAGTACGGAGCGCCGCTCGTCATGCCGGGAGAGGGGGGGAGTCCCCTCTGTGCTGTGGATGCCCATGATTCTTCCCCCCTGCGCTTCCCTTTCTCCCTATGTGCGCCCCCTTCCCCTCCCCTCCCCTACTGCACGGCGAGGAGGCTACGGCAAGCTGGTACAGAAGGAGATAGCGGCCATTCAGCAGTACGGAGCGCCGCTCTTCATGCCGGGAGAGGGGGGGAGCCCGGGAGGCATGCCCCCCTCCTTTGGCCACTCGCCCTCTGTGCCCCACCAGCCCATGAGCCACCGCATGCAGCAGCGATCTGGGCAATCAGCAGGGGCCCCGTGAGTAATCAGTGCATGTGCAAGGCACCATACATAAGCATAGGTATGCCCCTGAAGGGGGTGGTCATTCCCCCTCCTTTGGCCACTCGCCCTCGGTGCCCCCGCCAGCCCATGAGCCACCGCAATGCAGCAGCGACTGGGGAACCAACAGGGACCCAGTGAGTGGCGTTGACTTGACTTGCACCTTTGCTCGTTGCACTCACCCCCCTGCACCACCATGCATGCCCCTTGGTGGGTGGGAGGAGGGATGGTAATTCCCCCTCCTTTGGCCACTCGCCCTCTGTGCCCCGCCAGCCCATGAGCCAGCGCATGCAGCAACGACTGGGGAACCAGCGGGGACCCCGTGAGTGCCTGAAAGGCTATGCACCTAACACAGACAGACCACATGACCATACATTCTTTTAAAAGGAGGGGGTGGGAGTTCTTCCCTCCTTCATCCACTTGCCCTCGGTGCGGCGACAACCCATGAGCCACCGCATGGGCCAGTGACTGGGGAACCAGCCGGGGACCAAGTGAGTCATACAAGCATGTGCAAGCCAAGCCACGTGCAAGCCAAGCCACGTGCACGCCAAGCCACGTGCAAGCCAAGCCATGTGCAAGCCAAGCCACGTGCAAGCCAAGCCATGTGCAAGCCAAGCCATGTGCAAGCCACCGTACATGCATAGCGTTGCCTACACTCGCAAACATGAGCAGACAGCCGCCTCTATCGCCCTCTGTGCTCCGATAGCCCATGCGCCACCACATGGCCTAGCGGACATGTATTTTGAGACGTCTCAAAATACAACTTTTATCACGTCTCTCTCGCCCTCTGTGCTCCGATAGCCCATGCGCCACCACATGGCCCTAGCGACATGTATTTTGAGACGTCTCAAAATACAACTTTTATCACGTCTCTCTCGCCCTCTGTGCTCCGATAGCCCATGTGCCACCATATGGCCTAGCGACTTGTCATCCCCCTCTCCTATTACCACTCCCCCCCATCCTCCCTTTTCCCCCCATTTTTACTCCTCCATAATCCCACTCTGCTTGTCTCCTCTCCATTTTATCTGTTTCCTCTCCCCCCTCTCTCGGCTTGTCACTCATTATTCTCGCTCTCACTCCATCTCACTCCATCTCATTCCATCTCCCCAATTGTGTCTGTCTGTCCCTCTCAGGAGGGCCCAGCGTTACTCAAGGGATGACAGGCAGCGGGGCGGCTACAGAGGTAAGCAGCTCTGTTTATAAAGTGTATCACTGTAAGTATGTAATCATGACATGTGATAAGTGTGATGGGAGAATTATCACACCGACCGACAGACACTACAGAGGCTATTACTCACGACCACTTTTCCCTCCCCTTCTCGCTCCTAATCGCAGATGGATGGTGGGGGAGGAGGAGGCGGTGGGATGCGGAAGAGAGGGAGAGACGACGACGAGCAGATGGAAGAAGCGGGGAGGGAGGGACGGGGGGCAGGGAGGAGGGAGGAGAGAGGCGAGGAGGGGGCAGGGACGGGGGTGGGCGGGCGCGATATGAGGAGAGAAGAGGGAAGGAGGGGAGGGGAGAGGTGGTAGGGAGGGAGGGGCAGGAGGGGAGGAGAAGGAGGAAAGGGAGGAGGGGAGGAGAGGGTGGGGCAGAAGGGGTTGCTGACGACCAAAAGGTGAGACAATTGAAAATTATCTCTCCCTTTTTCTTCAGTCACCACGGTCTCACTCGATTCTGAAACAACCCTAAATGCATCGGAATCTGCTTGTGTGGTGGTTGTGTGCAGAAGAACCCGAGGTTCAGGGAGAGGGGGGATGATTCGGACGACGAGGGGGGACAAGGCATGAGCGTCACATGGCGCTTCTTGTAACGGACAGGAGGACGTCTAAGCTGGTTTGATTCGGTTTGTGAGGCGCCTCATAAGTCAAATTTTGAGGCTCCTTTGAAGTCGCGGCACTCAATGTATGTATGCCAAAGCTGGAAACTTTGGTGTAGATCATGTGTAAAAGTAAAAGATGTGAGGGGGGTCAGAGATGCCTTCCAGTTCCGGACAAATGTACGGATTTTCCCGTGACGAACTTGACGACCAACAGCCTCTTTCTACAAGATTCGAGTAACTGCAACAAATCCCTGCAAAGTGGTCTGGCTAGCCTGCTTGATCCCCGCTCTTGGGTCACTGAATCTCTTTGGGTACTACAGTAGAGGCGCCTTAATGAAGAATGTCGGTAGCTGTGAAGCCTTGCAAATCACTTGAGTAGTTCCTTCCTTATTGCAGCTAGAGCTACTGATACACCATCCTGAGCAGCACAGCAGCACAGCGGCACAGCGGCACACACACACACACAGCATTGCAGTATGGCAGCACGGCAGCATGGCCTCACGGGAGCACGGCAGCACGGCAGCATGGCAGCACGGCAGCATGGCAGCACGGCAGCATGGCAGCACGGCAGCATGGCAGCACGGCAGCATGGCAGCACGGCAGCATGGCAGCACGGCAGCACACACCCGCAGCATAGAGGGTCGCATTATCATGCCAGTATCTGTGGCACCCATGTGATTTTTTACTCAATCATGAAATTGTCAACCAAGTGTCACCCTAGAGACACACAAGCATCACTCCAAGAATCAACCGTCAGTCATCCAAGAGACGCACCTCTGTCTGTATCTCTCGTGATAGCTCCTGTGCGCGCTCCCTCATGCCCACACCCAATGCAGCAGCGAAGCGACTCACGACGGTTGCTACTGCTGGGACAGATATGGTAGCAGAGGCAGAAAGGTGAACAGGTGATGGGGCAAAACGAGAAACATGTAGAGCAAAATGCAGAATAAAGAACGTGAGGTGTGTGCAGTACAGTGAGATGCACAATATATGAAGTGTGGCCAGCTAAATGGGCAGAGAGACATGGTCCATCACATCAAATGTGATGAACGCTGGAGATGTGATATACGAATACAACAAGGAAAGGGTGATCGCACAGGTGCAACATTTTTTAGGCGCCTCGAAAGGGTGATCGCATGGGTGCAACATTGACGTAGCCGAGGCGGTGAGCCCAGTAGCTCTGGTCCTAGAGGAGCTGGGATGAGCAGAGTGCAGTGCTTACCCTCACGTGTAATGAGTCGCTTTTTGAGTCAACTCAAAAACCGAGGCGGTGAGCCCAGTAGCGCTGGTCCTAGAGGAGCTGGGGCGAGCAGAGTGCAGTGCTTACCCTCACCTCCCACACCCTCTACAAGCAGTCACGCACCTGTTGTTTGGTGTGCAGAGTCAGCAGGCATGAGGTCCGATGGGCGGAGAGGAGGGGGGGCGACCCCAAGGTAGCAGAGGCGGTGAGCCCAGTAGTGCTGGTCGAGAATGAAAGGAGGGGCAGGGAAGCTGAGGGGGAAATTAACCGGCTAGGCAATCATTCTCACCTGGTGAATGGTGCGCCGACTCTACAGGCATGAGGTCAGACGGGCGGAGAGGAGGGGGGACGACCCCAAGGTAGCAGAGGCGGTGAGCCCAGTAGTGCTGGTCGAGAATGAAGGGGCAGAGGAGCTGGGGCACGCCTGCTCGCAGTGCTGCTGCTGTGGTGCCGCTGATCGGGGTGCATACACAGATCGGGGCAGACAGATAAGTTGAGATGGGTGCAGGGGGGTGCAGACATGCAGGCAAAGGGACGGAGGGAGGGACCTGGACTGCCCAGTAGTGCTGGTCGAGGATGAAGGGGCAGAGGAGCTGAGGGATGCCTGCCCGCAGTGCTGCTGCTGTGGTGCCGCTGATGGGTGCAGGTGGGTGGAGATGGGTGCATGGGGCTGCGTGAAGGTACAGATATGGGCATTGGGGGGGTGAAGGGGATGAAGGGACAGACGGGCTAGGGCACCCCTGCTCGCAGTGCTGCTGCTGTGGTGGCGCTGATGGGTGCAGATGGGTGCATGGGTATGCATGCGGGTGTATGGGGTTGCATGAGGATGCACGGGGGTGTAGGGGAGTGTAGGGGGGTGCATAGGGGTGCATGTGGGTGCATGGGCGGGTGGAGTGTATGGGTGTGCAGAGGCGAAAATGAAGGGCAGAAGGACAGCATGCCAAGCAACACGGACGCATGGGGAGCGCCAGCCAACTGCAGAAATGCCCGATATCATCCGTTCTCCACCCCTCCCCCACCGCTCCCCCACAATCCTCCTCCCTCCCGTCCCCCACCCCTCCCCCCACCCCTCCTCCATCCCTCCCCCCTTCCCATCCCCCACAACCCCATGCCACCCACCTGCCGGCATGGTGCAGCACAAAGCAGCAGCGGGGGAAGAGCCACTCGTGAGAGACAGGGCTGGAAATGCGTGAAGGGGGGAATGGTACATAGCATCAAGACAGTATAGGAGACTTGAGACACCTCAACGCAACCTGACATTCATGTAGAGCGGTCAGAATGTATCAAAATAGCATGTAGCCTACACTTCAACAGTAGTTGTGTTTTAATTTTGTTGCTTAAGAAATCACAACAGACAAACCGTGACGTGACTAGTCTGTCTGTTGTGAGACAGATGGAACACGAAAACACAACAGCATCGTTCAATCTGAGTCGACACATGTGACAAGCAAAGACGATTCTGAGGTGCTTTCGCCTTGAAAGGCATGTGACGAAAAAAAGAGGAACAAGGTATCGACTCACCCCCGAAGGGCAAGGACCATCCCACCCGCAAACATCCTGGGAAGGCCGAGAGGCAAGAGCGGTGAGGTTGACAATTGGGGTGGTGTTGGTTGGGATGGTCGCTGGGACAACAGCCACCGTTTCTCATCCACTGACAGCATTTCGCCTCTGCCCCTTGCAACCAAATCTGCTGCTCTTTTTCGCCAGCACTCCTCCTCTTGCTCCTGCACGTGCTGCTTTTCGTCCCTGCACACTGCAGCGACTGCCTCCTCCAATGCGCTGTCGCCACTTGTCACGACCACGGCTCGCAGGTTGAGGGCTTCAGCTGCGGCAATGATGGTGGCGAGGAGCAACGCAGAAGGAGTGGAGGGGGGCTTGTAAATTGAGGTTAGCTGCGGGGATGATGGTGGACAGGAGCAAAGCAGGGTGGCACGCGCCAAGGGCAAGAGGTCGGATCAGGTTCCTAAGGACCCGCAGCAGGAGCTGAGCAGGCCACGGAAGGGGGCAAGGAGACCCATAACATTCAAAAACCGTGCAAGGACGGTCTGAAGGACAATACACAAGAACAGCGTCTGAGGAAGACAGAACGCCTCCGCGGTCATCTTCACCATGAGCACACCTGGGGCAGCAGAGGACAGAATGAGAAGGAGAAGGATGGGGCAAGAAAACTTCGACAGCTGTCGTGCAATTCTGTACTTGACGGCAGAGATATGCGCGAATAATTGCATTAGAGTGTAGCCGAGAACAGTATCGAGCACAGCCATAAGGGAGCGAGCCCGAGGCAAGAGGCACGAGGCGGACTTGATGGCCAGGGAGAGGGTCGGAAGCAACTCAACGGAGGTGCGACAAGGCGAGAGTTAGACGAGAACAGCAGCGCCTCATGCAGGCGAGGCACAAGCGCGGGTGACCTGGGGAGGGAATGGGTCAGCTGGCTGAAGATGGGTGTGTGGGGGATCCAGAGTATGAAGAGTGGAGATTTTCTCCTGTAAATAGGTAGGTTGTGAGTCCTTGATTTCGTGTGCTATGTCGGATGCATGTGAATGAGAGCAAGAGCTAGCGCAGGAGTAGAGCGAGACCCTCGTCTCGTTCAATCATTCGGACCCTAGGTTGCTATTTACAAGGTGCATCCTGCCTAGGGTCGGGATTGAATGAGACGAGAGTCTCGCTCTACTCCTGCGCTAGCTCTTACTCTCATTCACATGCATCCGACATAGCACACAAAATCAAAGACCCACAACCTACCTATTTACAAGAGAGAATCTCCACCCTTCATACTCTGGATCCCCCACACGCCCATCTTCAGCCAGCTGGCCCCTTCCCTCCCCAGGTCACCCGCACTTGCGCCTCGCCTGCATGATGCGCTGCTGTTCTCGTCCAACTCTCGCCTTGTCGCACCTCCGTTGAGTTGCTTCCGACCCTCTCCCTGGCCATCAAGTCCGCCTCGTGCCTCGTGCCTCCTGCCTCCTGCCTCAGGCTAGATCCCTTATGGCTGTGCTCGATACTGTTCTCGGCTACACTCCAATGCAATTATACTGTCTCGCATATCTATGCTGTCAAGTATAGAAATGCGCGACAAGCATCGTCGGCACGAGGAATAATAACTGAGTTGGACTTTAGTTCCGCAATCCCAAACTAAGTACAGAGGACATTAACTATAAGCTTAACCGCATAGGTGACTATGGGGAAACTAACTACCCTGTCCCCATTCCCCTCTCCAATGCCCACCTGTCCATACGTAGAGCTGAAGCTCGCATAGAACACATCGCTCTGGTGGTGGTGCCGTGCCTGACATGAAAGCATACGGTGAGTGAATGCGGCTAGCTATGGTACAACGTACCCCATCTCTATTGCTCCCTGCACCACCCACCTGCCCATCACCCACCTGCCCATGGAACTGAAGCCCACATAGAACACATTGTTCTGGCTACGCGGTACGCCCAGCACGCGAGGAGGGTGGAAGTACTGGTAGAGCAGCTGCAGAGACAGAAGAGTGAGAATGGGAGAGGGGTATGGGAGCGGAGATGCATCGGGGTGATTTTTTAGTCGACTCAAACGTCACCACATTTCGCTGGCAATGAGGAGGGAGGAAGTACTGGAAGAGCAGCTAAGAGTGAGAATGGGAGAGGGGTATGGGAGCGGAGATGCATCGGGAAAGCAACAGGATGGATGACAAATAGGAAAGCAGGCCGTGAGGAGCCGTTGAAACTCCAAGTCTTCACCTTAAATAGATTGCATGTTCTTAAGAGGTGGCTTTTACTCATGAGGTGGCTTTTACTCATCAAATAATAGACGAGCCGATTTAGCGCTGCGGAACCTAAAACTGGGTCGCTAGAGAAACAGAAATCCCCCATCCCCTCCCCTCGCCCCCCTCCAGCCCACCCCCCCCCCCCCTCCCTCCCAAAAGAAAAGCAAACAAACAGACAAACGAAACCCGGAGATATACATCGTTGGCAGCATTGCAGTTGGAACGCCTTACCATCTCTTCGGTACTGTCAGAGGCAATATGATTCCTCAACGGAATATATCATAAAGAATGTATAAGGGATGGAAACTTATATGTTGGTTCGCATACGTACAGCAAGGGTGTGGGCGCAGGCCATTCGTGGGTCGGCTCATCTGTTACCGGATCCTGCACACGTGCAAAGATTGCGGGTTAAGAGACGACTTTTGCGGCACCTCAAAAGTCGCTGCATACTGGACCCGGCACTGCACAGGTGCAAAGTGCAAGGTGACTTTTGAGTCGACTCAAAAGGCGCCTCAGAAGTCGCTGCATACCGGACCCTGCACTGCACAGGTGACTTTTGAGGCCCCTCAGAAGTCTTTTGCGGCGCCTCAAAAGTCGCTGCATACTGGAACCTGCATTGCACTGCACAGGTGCAAAGTGCGGCGATGTTTCAGGAACCTCAAAACTCCTCAAAAGACGGTCTAGCTGAGCCCTGTACGAAAGAAGTACACACGACAATAGCAGTGTGTGCTAAATCACTCAGGAAAACGAGACAGGAGGGGAGGGCGCGGGGAGGGGAGGGGGAAGTGGTGGGGGAGGGGGAGAGGGGGGAGGAGGAGCGGGGAGGGGAGGGGGGAGGGGAGAGGAGGGGGGAGGGGGAGGGGTGGCATGAACATGAAGTTCTAGAGGACCTAAAAGCATAAACATGAAGTTCTAGAGGACCTAAAGGCGTAAACATGAAGTTCTAGAGGACCTAAAGGCGTAAACATGAAGTTCTAGAGGACCTAAAGGCGTAAACATGAGGTTCTAGAGGACCTAAAGGCATCCTGAAGGATGTGGGAGGAGGACAAACCAGGAGAGCGCAGGGAGGAAGGCACAGAGAAGCTTCCCTCCACCGTGCCCACCGGTGGCAGGGGAAGAGCAGCGGCCACATCCATTCTGACACCTCCGCCCATGATAGCTGGGAGAGGGGGATGAGGGATGGGGGGGGAGAAGGGAGGAGTGCAACGAGGTGAAAGGACGGCCATATGAGTTGAGTGAGCAGCGGCCACATCCATTCTGACACCTCCGCCCATGATAGCTGGGAGAGGGGGATGAGGGATGGGGGGGGAGAAGGGAGGAGTGCAACGAGGGGAAAGGATGGCCATATGAGTTGAGTGAGCAGCGGCCACATCCATTCTGACACCTCCGCCCATGATAGCTGGGAGAGGGGGATGAGGGATGGGTGGTAGGGGGGGGAATGAGGAGGTGGGGAAAGAAGCGGGGGAGGGAGGGAGGGAGGGAGGGCACGGGGGCACATGAGGGCATGGGGGCATATGAGGGCATGGGGGCATATGAGGGCACGGGGGCATATGAGGGCAGGGGAGGAGGCAAGAAGGTAGGGGGCATAGAAGGAGAGTAAGAAGCAGCCACATCCACCTCGTGTGGGCTGACTGACTGCTTGCTGCAACCGGCGGAAACGGGACGGGTGGCTGCGAGCAAAGAGCGAAGCAACTTTTGAGTCGACTCAAAAGCCACCTTCTCACTCACCTCGTGTGGGCTAACTGCTCGTTGCAACCGGCGGAAAAGGGACGGGTGGCTGCGAGCAAAGAGCGAAGGGAACTGGTGGGGAGGCCTGTAGGGATCAGGGGGGGGGGGAATGAGATGCGAAGTGAGAACAGGGCAAACCGCACAGAACAGGACGTGGGAAGTGAGATGGGCAACGGTCGTGGCAACTACGAGACGGGTGAGAGATTCAGTGTGCTTCTCTCTCTGACCTGTAAGGCATGACGTAGGGCGCAGCAGCCATGCACTTGACTTCGAAATGTTCCGCTATGTGCCATGCTTCCTGCAGGCGCCACAGGCAAGAGGAATACGGGCACGTGGAACACAACACAACACAACAGAGCCCAAACATCAAAGAAATCACAGAGAGTTCATGTCAGGTCAGGCTTACCGACGCACACCAAAGGGCATGTGGGATTATACTGCAATGGTGACTATTGAGTCGACTCAAAATGAGGTGCCTTTTAGTCGACTCAAAATGAGGTGACTTTTGAGTCGACTCAAAAGTCGCATGTGGGATGATACTGCAATGGCACGGAGAGTTTATTCATGGCACGGCCTGAACTCCCAGACTTGCAGGCGGAGCTGATGGGAGCAGTGCTGGTGGGTGGAAAGGAAGGAGCAGAGCACCTTACAAGGGCAAACAGGTTAAAGACTATAAGCTTGCTTGTCTCTTGCGGCTGCTCGTCATCCATGCTGCTCAGGCTGCTGCCACCTTGTCCCTCCAGCCCCTTCGTCCCTTCTGCATCATCCGCCTCTTCCGCCCCCTCCGCCCCCTCCGCCCCCTTCGTCCCCTCTGCCCCGTCACAAGCTTCCAGGCACTTCTTAATGGCTTCAAAGCATTCCCTGCGATGACGTCCCTCCTCCTCTTCTCCCCACCCCTCCTCCTCTTCTCCCCACCCCTCCTCTTCGTCATCGTTTGTATCCCCCCCTTCGTTCTCCTCTTCATTTCCTTCACTCAAGCGAATGATCCTCCTCCGCTTTCTCCCCTTTCCCTGGTCAATCTCCCCTCCCTCCTTCGCCTCCCCTCGCTCCCCTTCCCCTTCGCCTTCCCCAATCCCTTCTCCCTTCCCTACTTCCCCTAACCCCTCTCCCTCCTCTCTCGTTTCTAACGGTTCTCCACTCCTCCTTTCCTGTTCTGCTTTCTCCTCTGTCATCTCCTTGCCCTCTCGTTTCTTGAAGGCAGGAGAAGAAACTCCCACAAAGCCCACTCCGTGTGCGGTTAGGCTCGGCCCAAGGCTGCGCTGCAGGGAAGGCACGGAACACCAGAGAAGAAAAGGGGAGTGGAACAACGGAATCTTTATTTGCCTGAAACGTATGCGACACATTGAAGAAGTGTACATGATACTTAGAATCACAGACCTCGAGAAACAGTAACAGAGACCAGAAGAGGAAACAGGGACCTGAAGAGGAAACAGAGACCTGAAGAGGAAACAGAGACCTGAAGAGGAAACAGAGACCTGAAGAGGAAATAGAGACCTGAAGAGGAAACAGAGACCTGAAGAGGAAACCACACCTGGTGCTCGTGATGAGTCACAAACCACACTGCCATCGACGTTTCTCTCCTCCTCCTTCCCCTGACCTCTTTTCCCCCGTAACCTCCACGCTTTTCCCCCTCTCCCTCCCATCCCTCCTCCCCCTCTTCTCCTGCACCCTTTCCTATCACATCTTTGACCCCCTGTGCGGCGAGTGCTGATGCTAGCACCTACACAGAGCGGGAATGAATGTGGGGGAATAAGGTGAAAGGGGGGGAAGGAGAATTGCGCCTTACAAACGCTAGCACCTACACGGAGCGGGAATGAAAGTGGGGGAATGGGGTGCAAGAGAGGGGGAGGAGGCGGTTAAGGGTATTTGAGGGAAGGGGGGAAGGTACGGAAAGGCGAGAAGAGGGAGAGGCGAGGAGGGGGAAAAGCGAAGAGGGGGAAAGGCGAGGAGGGGGAAAGGCGAGGAAAGCGAGGAGGGGGAGAAGCGAGGAAAGCGAGGAGGGGGAAGGTCGCGCAGGGAAAAGGCGAGGAGGAAAGACGAAGGGGGAAGGCGGGGAGGGAAGCGAGGAGGGGCTAAGACGAGGAGGGGCTAAGACGAGGAGGAAGAGCCTACCGCAAGTGGCTGCACGTCCCCTCGCGTGCCGAACGCGACGAACACCACAGTCGCGCGGGTGACTAGTCGGCGGCGATCCTGCTCCATACGCGTTATAACGACGGCCGATACGCTACGCTGTCACGGTTAGCAGCGCGGGCCCTCGCTACCGCTCCAATCGAGAAGGCCCTGTATGCCTGCAATCCGTTGCGCCGTCTCGACGATTCGCGACGTCACATCGATGGTTCGTTAAGTCACCCCGAGTCGGCACGAAGTCACTGCGGTGGGTGATGCTGCATTGTGCTTCAGAGAGAGAGGGGTCAGTCAAACGCGCCCCTAAGGCCAGCGTACACCGCTACTCGCAAATGTCCATTTTGCGCCTACCTGACAGCAAGCTCCGTCAACTAGCCGTTAAACAAAACGCCAAGACGCCTAGCGCCGCGGGTGAAGGAACGACGATTAGAGGAATGCGACATCCTTTCACGAGGAACAAAAAACTGGAAGGGAGGAGAAAACAGTGGAGAAGTGGGGTATCGATCCCCATACCTCTCGCATGCTAAGCGAGCGCTCTACCATCTGAGCTACATCCCCGACGCCACAGCAATGTTGGATGTAATAATGTCCTTAAACCTACTGAGCTTTTTTTCAAACTCTGCCACCAAAAATGTTCACAAGAAGCAGCTGCTTCTGAAGATAGCCAACCTGCACAGGCAAGACAGAAACGGTAAAATTGGCATTATTGGAATATAGATATGTAAGGTCCATGCACATAGCTCCAACTTCCAGCTCACATGCAACCCTTCACATCAATCACCTCACCCCACCACACACACCTTGTCAAGCAGGGAGGGAGCTCACATCCCTCATCGCAGCAGGACCGGACCCGGTAGGTGTTCCCATGCGCCTAGACGCCTGCACACAAATGCTAACACATTTCTCCAATTCCCCCTACATATCAATCGCCACATACCTTGTCAAGCAGGAAGCTCAAGTCCTGTATCCCAGCAGGGCTGGCAGGTGCGCCCCTGCGCCTAGACGCCTGCAACCGGCAAGCTTCGAGGGCCTTTCTCAGGTCGTCCTGCAAAAGAGTAAGGAAAACGGATATGGGAAGGAGGGAGGATTGGAGTGGAAGAAAAATGAACATGGGAAGGAGGATTTCGTCAGCTCTTCCTACCAAAGATGAAGCGTAACGGGCACGAGAGGGAGGAGGTGACTTTTTTAGTCGACTCAAAACAATTTCCTCAGCTTGTCCTGCCAGAGATAAAGCAACACAGGCACGCGAGGGAGGCGGACTCGAAAGAAAATACCAACCGGTCAGAAGAGGGGTAAGAGGACGGACTGGAGATTAAAACTCGAGACTCACCTGTGCTCTTGCATTCTGCATGCATCCTGTTGCAGCCTCTGCCACCATCTCTCCATGTGCCGACTCTCCGATAGAAGAGAAACGAGCCTGTTGGGATTTTGAGAGGTCCCAAGACTACAGCACTCACCTGTGCCCTTGCATACTGCATGTATATTGATGCAGCCCCTGCCACCATCTCTCCATGTGCCACCTCTCCGGTACACGAGAAATGAACCTGATGGTAAGGGGGAAGACGTCTTAGAACTTTAAAAACCTCGTTACGATGGAAAAACGACCCTGGCAGTTAGCACCCCTTACTTGGGGCGGAGCACACTACGTTTCGCAGGTCTTACATCTATTAACCATATGCTTACAGATATACATGTGTATATGTGTAAAACGAAAACAAAAAACAGACATACTGATTGCAGCAGCAGGTGTGACATGAGGCAGCTGTCCGCCCCACAGGCCTCTGTAGTACTACTGTAGACAACGCAGACACCAGCCGTTGAGACACATGACGATCACGCAGTGAACATAATTAAAACAAAACGGTCTGGTGGTCTTACTGATTGCAGCAGCAGGTGTGACATGAGCCAGCTGTCCGCCCCACAGGCCTCCGTGGCCCCCACTGCTGCTGCACTCAACCGCTCACACGCTGATGCCCACCGGTAGAAGGCCGGGAGAGGGAAGGAGAGAGCTGGAGAGAGGGTGGTAGTTAAAGCAGTTGCCGTTGATGATGCTGCTGCTTCTAATGGTGCTGCTGCTTCTTCTGCTGCTGCTGCCATTGAAGCTGCTACAGTGAGAACCACACTGCAAGCAGGGATGAATTAGACACGACTTTGGTCGGCAACATGGAGAGCTCAGAGCAAGGTTACTTCTCAGTCGACTCAAAATTCAAGAACCGGAGGAAGCAGGGTTTGGAACCACAAGCAAGCAGGAAGTGGTGAGACTCCAGCATCATGGGCCGCTCACAGATAAAAACAACACTACAAGGTGCATGGGCCATGAAAGGTGCACGCAGGCAGAAATCCCCACCATGCGGAAAAAAGGCCAGCCAAAATGGGATGGGATGGGAGGTTTGAGTACGCTGCAAGTGGAGGGACAATGTCAATTGGGATCGAGAAACCAAGATAGACGAAAAGCACATACCTTTCAACATCTGGCTCTTGCTCCTCTAGATCTCCTTTTTCCCCTTGCTCATCTGGACCGCACAGCCCATGCAGAGTGAAGGTGACATGCGGCAGCAGCAGGCTGACATACGGCACAGCGTGCACAAAGGCGGTGCAGGAGTGCACGAGTCCATTATCGTTCCCCTTACCCCAGCCGTGCATGCATGCTGCACAGGAGTGCAGGCGCCCTATATGGTGGTCCTTCTCCCCACCCCTGCCACCCCTCTCGTCTGTCAAAACTCTGTGCTCATCCGGGCTCCCCTCATCCCCCCCATACCACTCGATACCTCTTCCATCCTCATCATTTGCTCCTTTGGTATCATCTCCTTCCTTGCCCCCGTCTGCTTCCTCTTCCTCCTCTTCTTCCTCCTCCTCTTCCTCCTCCCCCTCCTCCTCCTCCTCCTCCTCCTCCTCCTCCTCCTCCTCCTCCTCCTCCTCCTCCTCCTCCTCATCCTCCTCCTCGTCTTCTTCCTTTTCCTCCTCATCCTTTCCCTCATCGTCTCCCTCCTCTTCCCCCTCCTCAGTCTCCTCGTCTTCCTCCCTCTCCTCCATTATAATCTCCTCAACCTCCTCTCCTTCTCCTTCCTCCCCCTCTCCGCTCCCCACTTCCCCACTCCTTGGCTCGATAGCAAAAAACTGAGTACAGATCAAGTTCCTATCCCTGTTAGTAGATGCCTCGTTATTCGTTCTGGCTGGATATTGGGTGCAGATTACATTCCTCTCCTTCCAGTCCTTACTCCCCTCTTCACTCCCCACACCAACACCTTTCTGAGACGCGTCCAAACGTTTACTTCCCTCATCACTCCCCACACCAACGGATTTCTGAGACGCGTCCAAGGTCCTATTCCCCTCATCGCCCCCCACACCCGCAGCACCACTCCCCACACCAGCGCACCCCTCTTTCTCCTCCTCGCCCAGCCTCCCCTCCCCAGGTCCCTCCACCAGAACCACATCGCTATCCTCCTCTTCTAAATGTCTCCCTCTCTCCCCTCCCTCCCCTCCTTCCTCTCCCTCCTCCCTCTGCCCCCTCACCCTCAACCTTTCCGCCTCCTCTTCACCATCCAGCCGACCACAAGCCCCCTTGCTCCGACTACTCTTCCTCCCCCGTGCTCCTCCCTTTCTCCCACCCATCCCACGCTTCAGTGCAAAACCCTTTGACACTCCACCCACTCCTCGATTCCTCCTCGATCTCCCTGCTCCTTTCTTACCCTGTTGACTGTTGTCCGCCCTAGCAACCCTCATCCGCTTCCCTCTGATGCGTGCTCCCTTTCTCCCTCCCTTCCTTTTTCTCCCCATCCTGTCGTCTCCATCCTCGTCCTCACTCCCTCCCAATCCAACCCCTCCCCCACCTACTTCACAATCACACTTAGAAACTCCAGCAACCACCTCCGTTCTTCTTCTTCTCTTCGTAATGCCCTTTTTGGCCCCCACGCTTTCCTGGAAGAGTTTCCTTTTCAAGCAGCCACCAGCCATACCCTGGCCCTCGGTACTGTGGCATCTGGTATCATCATTGTTACCACGATAACGCTGGTTACAGTGCTGATGGTAACCACCAACGCATTCGTTACCATGCTGTTGGTCACTTCCAAGCTGTTTGTTGCAACCCCCTTCCAGCTGATGACACGTGGAGCATGGCAACGTCCGGGTGCCTCTGATGAGCTGGCGGACAGCAGAGGCGTCCAATAGGAAAACGCCATTTGTCCCAAAATCGAGCACAGTCCTGAAACAGCAGGAGGACGTGGTAGGTCTTAGCTTGGAAGAGAAGAAGACGCATTCACAACACCGAGACAGAGGCGAAACACAACCCATCCCCCTCTCCCATTTCCCTCTTCCAGGCAAGCATCATAATGGCTGGATAGGACATGCCCTTCATCATACCTGAGTCGTGTAGCTGGTGGGGACTTTGATTCTGGGGCTCGGCCTGCTGCTGGTGTCTCTGCACAGGGTGCTACTGATGCTGCTGCTGGTGCGGATATTGCTGGTGCTGCTGGTGTTGCTGCAGCTGTTGTAGCTGGAGCTGGTGTTGACGCTGGCGTTGTCACTGTTGGCTCGTAATCAGTTGACGTGAGGGCGGGCTGGATCAGGCAGCCCACTCGGACACCCTGATACAGGAACAGTACGGGATTCCACGAATGAGAGAGATAGAATGTGGGAGATAGTACAGAACACGATGAGTCCTATTCATGAGTGAAGGCCGGATCAGGCAGCCCACTCGGAAACCCTGATACAGGAACAGAGCACAATACGATGAGAGGTACAGAATAAGATGAAAACTACATGATAAGAGTAAAAATACAGGTTAAGACCAGATACACAAGTTAAGAGGAGATATATGAAAGAAACGAGATAGGATGAAAGGTACGGGATAGAACGAGGGATTAATGGCCTTATCATAAAAGTACCCCTAACACTCCACACGCCTCAAAACGCCTCAACCACTGCCTGGAGCCAACACTCCACACGCCTCTTGTAACATTCACACCAATAGATTCACACCCATTACACTCACGAAAAGCGTGGCGTTAGGGTTCCGCTGGTCCACGGCAAACTCGAGGTGAATGGCGTCGGGAGCGAGAAAACCCTGCAGCTCATCATTCCGAGGCTCATCATGACGAGATGGCGTTCCAGTCAATACATGCTCGTTGTGATGTGAACCGACATTCTCAAGGTGCTGTGAAAGCCTTCCAACGGACGGCGATCCGTATTGTTCCGACGCGCTGACGTGGAAGCTTCCGAAGCCCTTAAAGACCCAGCTAGGCTCCGGAGAGGGAAGGTTTGCAGGATTAGCTGGTTCAGCGACCGAACCAGCTGGTTCGGTGCTAGGCCCGTTAGCATTGAGAGGGGTGTCAGGATCGCTAACACGGCTGCGGTTCAGAGATGCATGCGGATTGAGCCATGGCTGCGCTTTTAGCCAGGCACAGCGATCCATGCGTAAATAAATACCAGCAATTCGAAAAACAGCGGTTTAAAAACGAGGAAAGGGATGCGAAGGGTATTTCTATGACATGCAAAGGATTGCGCGAGAAGCGCTGTTGAAAAGGGAGAAGCAAACAGGATTGAGAAAGCTCTGACTAACTCCGCAAGACTCGTGTAGCCAAGTTTCCACTCGTGGGCTAGATGCAAGTTCTGACAATCCCTGTGCTTTTGACTGTCCTGAGTTTTCCTGTTTTCTGGGAAAACCGAGGCTGGTTCGGCAGCTTCAAGGTGACGACAACGATGAAACTGACACTTCCTCGATATATCGTCCTGGCGTAAATTGTTCGGATCATGGTAGAGCTTTTGAAAACACTCATAAAGCCTTTTCATAATGCAATGATTGGAACATTTATGACCGCGTCCTCCTAGTTGTTTTGAATATGCGTATAATGCTGTAAATCGATCACATTTTACTGAAACCAACTCGGGACACAACATCAAACCATGGGACGTCATGTCTGCCCATATTGAGAATAGTTAGTGTTCAACATTAAGGTACGGTACGTCTTCGAGCTATGATTTATAGCATTAACTCAACACATACCGTGTGTGGAGATCCACGACCAGTAGTTTTCATAGTGCCAGAGACAAACAGCGAGCATGATGTACCCCTGTTGAGAATGTTGAAAATCGCTGCCAACCCATGGAGCGTCACGTCTGCCCATATTAAGACTAGTTAGTGTTTTACATTTCAATAGAATAGTCGGTAGGTCTTCGAGCTATGATCTATAGCATTTAATAACTCAACACATACCGTATTTGGAGCTCCACGACCAGTGGCTTTCATGGTGCCAGAGACAAACAGCAAGCATGATGTAGCCCTGGTATGACATTCCAAGGTACAGCACGTGACGTGATAATGTCACCCCTACAACAGCCCCTGACGCCATGTGTCTCCCCGGATACAGCTTGTGATGCGTGTGAGTCATGGAACCCCCACAGCCCCTGCTGTCAGAGTATTCACCACATGGTGCAATGCAGCAGCATGTGGTGTGGAGTGTGGACATGCAGCATGTGTACGTCTATCTCCATGTGCGGCCAATGTTCATGCTGTTTGGAGCAACGTTCCAGGAGCTTGGTACAGCTAGTGGACGGGGTGGCAGCACAGCAGCACATGCCACAATGCATCAGCACGACCTGCTTACATCGTATGAAAATGGTAAACATGAACATCATTATTAGTTACAGCCTACCAGGGCACGAGCTGTGCCCCAACAATATTGACAGCTCTGAAGTCTTCCTATGCGCATTACATAATCTACACAACCGGAGCTGCTAAGGGAAAGAACAATGCAAATCTAACACTAGATTGCCACAGGATTCCCTAAAGATGGAACTATAAAAAAAACACCTTAAGCAGGCGGCCTGATAAGGTTATCCACACCGTGCACCTTGATGAATTTACCGCTGAACAGGTCGGGCTTGTCTACCCGCACCCACGACAGCGGGCCGGAGTTGGGCCGGCCGAACCCCACCTCGTTGCCAGCGGGCGGGAGAAGCTTGTTGAGCGCGGCGGAGCTCGCTTGCGTCCCGAACTTCTGGAAAAAGTTTGTCTCGAGAAGGTCCTTGTTCTTGATCACCCAGTCCTTTGCGGCGGGGCTCACGGCCTTGCGCTCTACCGGGCGGTTCTTGTAAAGGGAGCGCAGCTGCGTGCCGCGGGGAAGGTTCTTCATTTGGCTGAAGGAGAAGCGCCCGCGAATGATGTTGTAGCGGGCGAGTTTGGTAACCATCTTGGGGTTGAAGAGCGCGCGAAGGCCGAATTTCGCGAGGGCGGAGTCGGTGGGGACGAGAACCGTGGTGTTTTCGACGAGCTTCAGCTTGCCGTTCGGGAAGTTGCCTGGGAATGGGCTCGCGCGATATTGCAGCAGTGAAACGCAGTTGGGATGGGAACAGGATGGAAGGGGAGGGGAAGGGAAGGAAAGGAGCGGGTGAAACGGGAACAATATGCATCCTTCCTTGCGGCCAGGAAACTCAGCCAGGAACGGAAGGACAGAGCAGGAGGGATGACAGGGCAAGTGTAAGCCGACGAGCGGCGGGTGGCCACACCGGAGTAAAGGTGTGAGAAGAGCTCAGCGACAAAGCAGGACAACCTGAGGGCGCAGCTTATAAGAACGGCGGGCGTGGGCTTAAGAACAGGGCCGAGGTGCGATGAGTAAGCACAACAAGTGCGCAGAGAGAAAGCAAGACAGTACCACGGTCGCAGGGGAAAAGCAGAGGTGCAAAGAGCAAGCAAGACGGAAGAGAAGGCGTACTAAGGGTGGAGAACACTTTGGCCGGAAGGCTGTAGCCCGGCTGCCCAGCGAGGATGCTCGCCACTTGCTTCAGCTCCGCGCGAAACGTCGTCGCAGGTGGCGATACGGGCGACGTGCTGGCCGACATGCTGGGCGACGTGATGGGCGACGTGATGGGCGACGAGAGGGGCGCAGGTTTGGGCAATGAGTCAGGCGACGGCCGGGGAGCGAACTGAGCAGCAGCTGCTGAGGTGAGGAGAAGTGAGGTCGCGAGGAGCGCTAGAGCAACTCTCGAAGCCATGGCTGAGCAAGTCAGTTACAAAAGAGCTGGCTGAATGGCACGCTTCCAGGTATTCTGCTACCGACGGAGGTCGTATCAGCCGGGGAAATCAAGTTAGGCAGGTAGACACTGAGGCTAGTTAGCAAGTGAGCGAAGTCGAGCGTATTTTGATAATCTCAGCTGGAGCAAGTGAGACATATAAACTAGAGCAAGGGGTGGTAGGTTAGGCGAACCAAGGGCGATAGGGCTTGCCCGATTTGCTGTTGAGGTGGGATCGCACACGCAGGTGTGGAAATGCAGACGACAACATTTTGCCCAGGGCGATTCCTCGCGACGCAGATACCTTTTTCGGGTTGGTTACGGCGCCGCCAACGACCCGTCGCTCGCAAAATGGAACGCTGCAAATTGAATTGGCTGCACCTAGATGAAAGTGTGCTGGGTGTGTGGACCCTGGGTTTTGACGTGGCGCGTCGCACACCCTGGGTTCTTGTCCCAGCGATCGCGTAGGCATCACAAGTAGTCGTCGAGATGCAGTCGACGACTGAGTACGACCACCACTACCCTGGTTTGAGCGACATTTTACAGGGAAGCCCTCACCCCTACAGGCACAGATTGCAGACACTCATCGAGGCGCTCCAATGTTGGCGAGCCGCATTTGAATTGACGCTGGACACCATCCACGTCACCAAAGCGCATTCGTTACAGCAGCGTCCCATCGTTGAAGGCACATCAATCCACGGCATTATATAAACAATGGAAAACGTTACTGTTACGAGTGCAATTGAGTGAGCGAGCTAGAATTGCACTATCGAAGCAAGAGTACAATGAGCGAAGGCATGAGCGAAGAATATATAGCGAAACTACTGTGGTAACGGTAATGGACTGTGGTTCTCGCGCGACGGGCCTGGGACTGAGGTTGGGGAAAATGTCGAAGCGGAGGCCCAGAGCGTGGGTTACCCGCCGAGCCGTGAGGTCGGGGTGCGATGTGCGAAGGTGGCGGGAGGATTGTCGATGCGAGGGTTGCGAGTGGTAACGGTGCTGACTGTGGTGCTACAGTGGTGTACGCGCTGAGCGGGGACGCGAAGTAAGGAAAAAAAAATCCTTACAGTTACATAGATCTTGCTACGATTATAAAGCAGATCAATTATCTAGTGAACTCAAAGCATATCGCTGAGATTGACGCTGCTGGTTCCAATAACCCTGCTGAATATCCTACTTCTCCGCGCGTGGGTGAGCAATTTCCCCTTAAAATTGTATCGTTTGCATTACTAGCCTTCACGATGCTATTCGCCTAGTTGTTTTGATAAATCGGATCGGGTTGAATAACCTAGCTTATGGGTTGGGCATGACCGAAGGTACCCGACTAGTAGACCCTAGGGTCTAATCCTAATTGCAATAGACTCGACATTTTGAGAGGCTAATATGATGTTGTGATATTGCCCAACAGGGGTGAGAGAACTTTCAAGTAGAACATTTCGTACTGCAAAGCCGTGTCAATTAATCAATAATTTGGCGAATCTCAAAGCTACGAGGGGGGGCGGGGGGGAGAAGGTGTCAGACAGAGCCTCAGATTGGTTTGAGGGTAGACTGATCAATCAGTGCTGTGTAAAAAAAAAATCCCTTGTGCGCTGATTGATCAGCGCTGAGGGTTGGCGTTATACTGTATTTCTCAGTGCTGTTCCCAATGGTATGCTGACCCATCAGTGTAAACACGAAATACACACTGTATCATCAGGACAGGATTCAGTTCAGTGGGGTGGGGTCACTTTAATATATTCAACAACAATTCTAACAACAAGAATCAGAAAAGTAGAACTTGTGGTGGGCGGGAGGGAGGGAGTGTATGGGTGGGGACAAGACATAGCAACAGCAAGACAACACAACTCCACACACATCAGCTGTATTTGCTAGTATCTTCCTCATCAAACTCATCCTCCTCCTCCTCATCATCTTCTGCAGGCCCAGCACCACCACATCCTCCTTCCCTGTCGTCGTCGTCACTGCTGTCACCTCGGGTCCCAGAGGAGAAACTTGTGCTCTCGAGCACCTCCACCACACGGCGGCCACTCCCCTTAACACACTTGCCTCGTCGTGCTGCATCAGCCGTTGCTACCTCCTTGCGTTTGCTCGGCCTCCTCTTCCTCCAGCTCCTCCAAATCTCCACCACCTTCCCCTACTCCATGTCATAGTCAAGCAGACTCAACGTCAGCATATCTGCCAGCCTAGCATTGTAGAGGCTCGTCCTCTGCCAGCTTCTGATCACGTTCTGGCGGGAGAACCCGCGTTCGCACTTGACTGTGCTGAGTGCACCCACCAAACATAAAGCAAGATATCTACACTGCCACCTTCTCACAAGCAGTTAAATAAAATACATATAACATATTTTGACACGCCCCCATAACTGTTTGGGGGAAGAAATGTAGTTATCGCCCCCTAAAGTGGTTCACCAGGGAGAGTGCAGCGAAAGAAGCAGACGACAAGTGAGGAGGAGGGACCATGAGAGGAGAGGAGGTGGTGGGCAACGGGTGAAGCTGCTTGCACACGGGCAACTCGAGCAACTGACACACGGGCAACTGGAGCAACTGGCACATGGGCAACTAGAGTAACTGGCTCTGCGGCTAAACGAGCGGCTGGAGCAACTGACTCATGGGCGACTGGAGCAACGGGCTCACGGGCGACTGGAGCAACGGGCTCACGGGCGACTGGAGCAACGGGCTCACGTGCGACTGGGGCTGCTGGCTTCACAGCGGCCATCCCCCATTCAACCTCCCCCCTTCTCCCCAAACCTCACCCCACAGCAGCCACTCCCCTGCTAGCTTCCCCCCCCCCCGCGTCCTGCCCCGTATGGTGTGTCGTAAGTCACCCCCCTTCCTTCGGTTGGGCCTATGGGAAAGTCTGTTGAATCTTGAAGCCGAGTGCATACGGGTGCGCCTCCTATGTTGGCCCCTTCGCCACCTTCCCCACGTCCCCCACCTACGTCGCTGCTGTTGCCACAGTCTCTGCCGTCATCGGCGTCATCTTCGCACCCGCCGCAACAGCCTTCGTCACCGGAACAACTGTCATCGTCGCCGCAATCGGTTGATGTGGAATCTTGGGCGTGCTGGTTCTGGGGATGCTAGCTCTGGGGGTGCTGGTGCTCGAAGTCCTAGTTTTGGGGGTGCTACCGCATGAGGCAGTAGGTGCCATAGTCACCACAATAGTCACAGTCGTTGCCGCAGCAGCCGCAGCCGTTGTCGTCGCCGCCTGTATCTCCATTTCACCTTCTAGGGCTTTCTACCCCTCGCTTGACTGACCACATGTTCCCCCCTCACCGCCTCTCCCAGCCTATGGTCCCATGTTTCCTCCCCATCTCTAGCCCATCTTCCTCCATGTTCACAGTTGTTTCATCCTCTGTCTCCTGACCCAACTCCTCCCTCTCACCACTGGGTCCGTTGTCCCTCTCGTGTCCGCGCCAGCGCCAGTCGTCGGCGTCCGCGCTGGCGCTCGTCGCGGGCGTCTACGCTGGCGCCTGGCGAGGATGTTCGCGCTAACGCTGGTCGCGGACGTCTGCGCTGGCGCCCGGCGAGGCGCTGGGCGGGCTGCGCAGGGTCGAGACGGGTCGCGCGCGGACGGGACAGGCTGAGCGCGGGGCAGAACGAGCTGCGCACAGGGCAAAACGGGCCGTGCGCGGGCAAAACGGACTGCACGCGGGGCGCATCGGGCTGCGTGACGAGTGGGTCCATGTCTCTGAAAATGACAGGAAGGCTCCTGGATGGAACTTGCACTGACACCATGTTAAAGTGCTAATTTAGGAATTAAAACTTAGGAGATTAGGTTTAGCCATAGCGAGAGGCTTGAGCAGGAGGGAATTGGCCAAAAACAGAAAGGAGTTCACTATAGAATGTTGGAAACATTTAGGCAAGAGAAGAGAGGTGCACCACCAAACATGAAGCAAGATATCTTACGCTCTATAGAAAAGGAGACCACGCTGCTCCATACTCGTTATAACACGCCCGATACGCCGTCAAGGTTACCAACACTGCCCTCGCAAACGCTCCAATCGCGATAGCCCCTGCATTACTGCTATCCTTTACGGGGGCTCGACGCTTTGTGACGTCAACTCGACCATCCGCATCCGCACAACGTCACCGTGTTGTGTGATGCTGCATTCTAGAAAGAGATGCCAGTCAAACGCGCCCTTCCAGCTTCCGCCTACTCGCAAATGTCCAATTTGCGCCTACCTGGCAGCAAGTTCCGTCGACTAGCCGCCAAAAAAACGAAATACTTAGCGCCGCGGGTGACGGAAGATTAGCGCGTGGGGAAGACTTTCGCAAAAGAAGGAACGACGATGAGACAAATGCGACATCCGTTCACGCAGGGAAAGAAAATGCTTGGAGAAGTGGGGTATCGATCTCCATACCTCTCGCATGCTAAGCGCTCTACCATCTGAGCTACATCCCCGATACTACAATATAGTCGTTTGCAATCCTGACTATTAAACAAAATGGTCTTCCTCAAAGTCTCTCATCAAAAATATATACAAGAAGCAGCTGCTTTTGGAGACTGCCAACCTGCACAGGCAAGAGAGAAAGACTAGCACTTGCATTTTGGACTACAAATCTGTAATGTGCATGCACATAGCTCCGACTCCCAGCTCACACTACAGCATACCTTGGCGAGCATGGAGGTCACATCTCCCAACACAGCAGGACTGGGAGGTGCGCCCCTGCGTCTACACGCCTGCGACCGGAGAGCCTCAAGAGCACTAATCAGCTCGTCCTGAAAAAGACGAAGGACAGAGACATGGGAGAGGGGGGATTTGAGTGGCCTTGATACGCAATGCCTGTAAGGAGGAGGATGAGGGGGCTCCAGGGCCTTTGATGCTGCAGGGTGTTATTGAGAATTCTCAAAAACGCCTCCAAGGAGGAAGATGAGGGCGCTCCAGGACCTTCCTCGGTTCGTCCTGCAAGTCTGCAAGAGACATGAGAGAGAGGAGGAATTGCCGAAGCCTCCTGTTACGCTCTTACCCTCTATCTTCAACATGATATCACAAAAACACATTCCAAACCTGTACATTATAGGAGAAGACTTATCGAATATGTTAAGCCATATGGATTATTACAAGGAGTATACATTGAAGCAAGTTTACGCCTGCAGCAACCAAAGAAGCACTATGTGGAGAGTGATACAATTCGTTTGCTTCAACGTAATTTATATGTTAAAATGTCTAACAGCATGATCAGTTAGGCGTTTATTATTGCAAGTGCATTTTATCGTACTAGAGTGAGCAGAGTATATGCTAGAATATGGTATATTCTTATATAATTGCATGTTTTAGCTAATGGTGTTGGGCCTTGGTGGTATACCTCCCCTTGTCCACCTTTCCTATATCTTGTAACTCTCTCACATTGCAAACCCCTTCTTTGTTGGCCAACTCCCTCTCTTCCTAAACCCTAAGTTTCTCCTAAGCTTAGTATCTTGACATGGTACAGAGCACTAAAACGGTCTAAGGACCTAATTTCTTTTTTTGGAACATTGGCCCGCCCTTGCTGCAGCGCGAAATGCGTTTTTTTTTTTTTGGGGTTGCGAAGCAACCTATTACAATCGATTTGGACAGTTTTTTTTTTCCACATTTTATTTATTTAAAATAAAATGTGAAAAAAAAAAAAATAGGATGCACTAGTTGCTAGCTACATGACCAGTAAGTATTGTCTACATTCAATTGTAATGTGATGGTAGTGATTTTTCTGTTCGCACTACGACATATTTTTGTGCGGTATGTTGGATGATATAATGGTAATTACGTGACTGTCGTAAAATGCATATATGTTATAAATAAATATAATAATACATGAATGAATATAATGATACATGCTTGAATGAATATAATGATACAAATTTTATAAATGCATTATGTAATAATGATAATGATGCTTCAGTATGCACACTGTTTTATGTTGAATACATGCATACTAGTTCATGATATAAATGCGTGAAAGCTAACGATCCAAGAACTATGCTATCGCATCCCCTGCCTAGCATGGGGGGGAGCTAACAGCATAATCCTTGAACAATCAGCAGTCACATGAAACAACACAATCTGTGAACTCTAAAAAGATGGTCAAATCTATCATCTCCAGCTCAAGTGGGCTCCTGACAGGCGCGCCAATGAACCTTCTAATGAAATGATAAACCTGATTCACCTTTTTAAAACCCACAGACGTGCATTGTCATTGCAATGATAGATGAATGCACACCCAGACAAGCAAACACATTCACAACAACCAAACGCATGGACAGCAAAAAAACGAGCAGGAAACCCAAGATAATATATAAAAGATGCAAAACAAAGTAAAACGGGCAATATGGTGAATTCTATAAGTGACAACTACGATTATCCAGATTGGACTCGCCTTCCTGATCAGCAAGACTCCTGAGAACAAAAAAAAAAAAAGATAATGAGAAAGGGAAGGTAGGGTCAACATAGGTAACAGAAAACAAAGCACATTAAACAAAGCAAAAAACAGAAGCATAAAACGGAAGTATAAAATGGAAGCCGAAAACGGTGGCAGAAAACGGAAGCAGCAAACTGAAGCCGTAAACATAATGAAGGAAGGCGTAAAGGAAGCATGGAAGGTATGAGGGAAGGAAAGATGGAAGGACGGACGGAAGGAATGAGATAGATAGATAGAGAGAGAGAGAGAGAGAGAGAGAGAGAGAGAGAGAGAGAGAGAGAGAGAGAGAGAGAGAGAGAGAGAGAGAGAACGAGAGAGAGAAAACGAGAGAGAGAGAACGAGAGAGAGAATTCGAGAGAGAGAGAACGAGAGAGAGAACGAGAGAGAGAGAACAAGAGAGAGAGAGAACGAGAGAGAGAGAACGAGAGAAAGAGAGAGAGAGAACGAGAGAGAGAGAGAGAGAACGAGAGAGAGAGAGAGAGAGAGAGATGAGAGAGAGAGAGAGAGAAAGAGAGAGAGAGAGAGAGAGAGAGAGAGAGAGAGAGAGAGAGAGAGAGAGAGAGAGAGAGAGAGAGAGAGAGGGAGGGAGGGAGGGAGAGGGAGGGAGGGAGGGAGAGAGAGAGAGAGAGAGAGAGAGAGAGAGAGAGAGAGAGAGAGAGAGAGGGAGGGAGAGGGAGGGAGAGAGAGAGAGAGAGAGAGAACGAGATTGAGAGAACGAGAGAAGAAGAAAGAACCGGAATGAACAACATACTAATAACAACGGTAAGAAACAATAAGAAACGAAGAACGGGGGAGAGAGAGAAGGAACCGAGAGGAGGGAGAACCGAGAGAGAGAGAGAGAGAGATAAGGCATAACCGATGGAGATAGAAGGAACGGTAAGAAACAATAAGAAACTAGAATAAGCGACGAAATTGAGCTAGACAAAACGGAATGAAAGAGAGGATGATACAACAATAAGGCAGGATGATACATCATCTTCTGGTTAACATATACGTCTAGATCTCGTTTAAAAAAAACAAACTCTAAACCAGAATGAGTTAAACTAGGACCCACTCTCAACTAGAATGAGCTTAAGAAATAGAGAGAATATGGCTTACCTTAATATGAGCACTAGTCTGGGGCGTGAGTAGCGTGAGTGACGTGAGGGACGGGAGAAGCTAGAGTGGCGTGAGTAGTTGGAAGAGAAACGAAGCACAAAGGAATTTGACGAAACCCTAGGATGGGACGTTTTTGATTTCAATCGTAGTCTGTATAATTTAGCGCAAAAGCTGAAACAGCGTCTTTAGCACAGCGCTGTCGATGTCGCGTTTCATCACGAAGGTCGGCGGTTCGAATCCGGTTGTGCACATTGATTTGGCAAAAAAAATTTCGTGTTCCGTTTTGTACTTTTGTTGTTTCCAGATTTCCAATCACCATAAAACCAAATAATCTGAACAGAATAAGAATAACTTTAACATAAAGAGTGTTCTTAACATTCAGAATCTATATCCAAAACGACCTGTCAGAACATTATAGCTCATGCATATTGTGTAGGCTATAGTGGGGTAGTCCATAAGGGGTACAACCCAATTAGGGTTAGTACTTGTACCCAATTCATTCATAGTTCATTCATTCCTTGTTTCTTCTCATGGTATCGAGCAGGTTCCCTAACGGGAACGATTCCTAGGGCCCACCACTACGAGTTTTTTTTTTCCTGCCCGGAGCGCGCTTCGCTCCGGCCCGAGTCGCGCCCGGTGTGCTCTCATCACCGTCGCGCCCTCACTAGGCCCCTCACGGCCCCCTAGCGCCGCCCTTAGCGGGCCCGTCGCACTGCCCTTCGCGGCCGCGTCGCGCCGCCCTTTCGCGGCCCCGTCGCGCCGCCCTTCGCGGCCGCGTCGCGCCGCCCTTTCGCGGCCCCGTCGCGCCGCCCCTTTCGCGGCCCCGTCGCCGCCCTACCTGCGGCCTCGTCGCCGCCCCTTTCGGCGGCCCCGTCGCCGCCCTACCTGCGGCCTCGTCGCCGCCCTACCTACGGCCCCGTCGCCGCCCTACCTGCGGCCCCGTCGCCGCCCTACCTGCGGCCCCGTCGCCGCCCTATCTGCGGCCCCGTCGTCGCCCTCCCCTGCAGCGGCCTCGGTGCCTACTCCTACGGCCCCGGCCCCTGCTCCTACGACCCCGGCGCCTACTCCTACGGCCCCGGCGCCGCCCTTCCCGGCTCCGACGCCGCCTCCCACCGGCCCCTCCGCCGTCCCTGATCAAGAGCCGCAGCCGCCAAGCCGCCCAGCGACCGAGCCGCCGGGCCGCCGAACCGCCCAGCAGCCGAGCCGCCGGGCCGCCTAGCCGCCCTGCCGCCGAGCCACCCGAGCCGCCCAGCAGCCGAGCCGCCCAGCAGCCGAGCCGCCCAGCAGCCGAGCCGCCCAGCCGCCGAGCAGCCCAGCAGCCGAGCCGCCGAGCCGCCGAGCAGCCGAGTCGCCGAGCCGCCCTGCAGCCGAGCCGCCCAGCCGCCGAGTCGCCGAGCCGCCCTGCAGCCGAGCCGCCCGAGCCGCCCTGTCCGGTAAGAGCAGCGCCTCTCTCACAGCACTGCCCTCACCCTACTGTTTGCGCTACTAGTCTACTGCTGTCATGGCTACCCCTAGTGTCCTCGCTTTTGACCCTGAGGGTCGGGCCATTGACTTTGAAGTCTGGATAGATGACCTACAGCTTTTCTTACAGTGCGATAGGGCAGACGGCCTCTCCCTCTTTGACCTCACTTCTGGTGCCTCTCCTGCCCCCGCTGCTGATGCTGACGCCACTGTTCGCTCACAGTGGGCCACGCGCGATGCTGCTGCACGTCTTGCTGTGCGTCGCCACCTGCCTACCTCTGAGCGTGCGCACTTTAGCCAGTACAAGAGTGCTCAGACCTTGTACGACGCTGTAGTTGCACGCTACTCCTCCCCTGCCACTGCTGCACTGAGCCGCCTCATGCTACCGTACCTCTTCCCTGACCTTGCTGCCTTTCCCACAGTCGCTGACCTCATTACGCACCTCCGCACTAGTGACACTCGCTACCGCGCTGCGCTTCCTGCTGAGTTCTGCGCCAAGAACCCCCCCCCCATGTACATCACCCTCTACTACATAGTCACCCGTCTCCCTGACTCCCTTCGCGTAGTCAGGGACCACTTCCTCTCGGTTTGCCCCACCACTCTCACTGTTGACCTCCTCGAGAAGGCCCTCCTAGCAGCAGAAAAGAGCATAGTCGCTGTAGGAGCCTCTCGTGGTGACCCTCGCACCCCCATCTTTGAGGGGTGTTCCCCCTCCCCTCTTTTGCCCTCTGTTGCCTCTGCTGCTGCGGCCGACCTCGCTGGTTTGGAGTCGGTTGGGGCAGCGTCTACCCCTAGCGGGAGACGCCGCCCTGGCAAGGGCAAGGGGGGCAGGGGCGCTGGAGGAGCTAGCGGGGGCGGTGGAGGCGGCGGTGGGGGCGGTGGAGGGGGTGGGGGTGGCGGTGGGGGTGGTGGCGGGGGTGGAGGTGTCGGTGGCGGCAGTGGAGGCGGAGGCGGCAGCGGCGGTGGCGGAGGGAGCGGAGGTGGCGGCGGTGGAGGAGGAGGCGGCGGAGGAGGTGGAGCTGGTCGGGGTGGCGCTGCGCAGAGGGTCGGCTCCGGTGGTGGTCAGCGCCAGCAGCAGCAGCAGCAGCAGCAGCAGCAGCAGCGCACTCGTGACATCCCCTCCCCTCAGCAGCTCCGTGAGTGGTACACTGCACGCCAGCGGGGTGGGGGTACTGGTCCGTGCACCTACGTCCTGCGCACCGGCGACCGCGCGGGTGAGCAGTGCGGGGGTGCGCACTCCACCCAGCGCTGCTTTGGCCGCCTGACGGACGCTTGGCGTCACTAGTTCCCTGAGGCCACTGAGATCCCCCGCTGGGGTGAGCTGTCTAGGGCGGGTGTAGCTGTCTTTGACCTTGACTTTGATGCTATCCTTGCTGCCATGTATACTGTGACTATTAGTGATGAGGGTGACTGTTACCGGTGTTTTCCGCCCGACCCGGGCATTGAGACTGCTGCTTTAGGTACTGGTGAGGCTGCTGCTCTAGGTGCTAGCGAGGCTGCTGCTCTAGGTGCGTCTGCTCCCTCAGGTGCTGGTGAGTCTGCTCTCTCAGGTTCTGCGTCGGCTTCGGCCTCCCACACCTTCACCCTTGACTCGGGGGCTTCTCGCTCCTTCTTTCGAGACCGCACCACACTCACGCCGCTTGGCCGGCCAGTTGCGGTCTCTCTGGCAGACCCCTCTGGGGGTCCTGTCCTTGCTCACTTCTCCACTGTCCTCCCGTGTCCGGCGGCCCCCTCTGGCACCCTGTCTGGTCTTTACCTCCCCTCGTTCTCTACGAACTTGGTGAGTGGTGCTGACCTACAGGATGCGGGGGTTCACCAGTTCACTCCTGCGAGTCAGCGGGTGACCCACTGCACGGACGCTCGGACAGGCCGACACCTGGCCACGTTTACACGTCGGCCAGGGTCGAGCCTGTACACACTGACCACTGCATCTCCTCCAGTCCCTGCGTCTGGTCAGGTAGCTGCGTCGGGTCAGGTGTTTGCTGCAGCGTCCAGGTCTGGTCCTGAGTCTGCCCCCTGCTCGTGTCGCCTCCTGTCTCACGAGACTCTCCTCTGGCACCACCGCCTTGGTCACCCCTCCCTGCTTCGTCTCCGGAGCATGGCCTCCCGTGTCCTTGTCTCTGGTCTTCCCCGGTCCCTCCCTCCCCTTCCTCCGGGGCCTGGCCCTACCTGCGTCCCCTGTGTCGAGGGACGGCAGCGGGCTACCCCTCACTCCTCCCAGTTTCCTCCGACAGAGGCCCCGCTGCAGACGCTTCACATGGACGTGTGGGGCCCGGCCCGCGTCCGTGGACAGGGTCACGAGCGCTACTTCCTGCTGGTGGTTGACGACTACTCGCGTTACACCACAGTCTTCCCCTTGCGCAGCAAGGGTGATGTCACTGAGGTGTTGATCGACTGGATCCGCGCAGCTCGTCTCCAGCTCAGGCGGAGCTTCGGCTCGGACTTTCCTGTTCTGCGTCTGCACTCTGACAGAGGCGGAGAGTTCTCCTCTGGCCTTCTGCGAGCCTATTGTCGTGCACGAGGCATCCGTTAGACCTTCACGCTTCCGGACTCTCCACAGCAAAATGGGATTGCTGAGCGCCGCATTGGCATGGTCATGGACGTCGCCCGTACGTCCATGATGCATGCGGCTGCCCCCCATTTTCTGTGGCCGTTTGCGGTTCGGTACGCGGCGCATCAGATCAACCTTCAGCCCAGGGTCTCCATGCCGGAGACCTCCCCAGCTTTGCTGTGGACGGGGAAGGTTGGCGATGCGTCTGCGTTCCGTGTCTGGGGATCTCGGGCGTTTGTCCGCGACTTGTCTGCGGACAAGCTGTCCCCTCGTGCTGCTCCTTGCGTCTTCCTGGGTTTCCCCCCTGACGCCCCAGGGTGGCAGTTCTACCACCCCACCTCTCGCCGTGTTCTGTCCTCCCAGGACGTCACGTTCGACGAGTCGGTCCCCTACTACCGCCTCTTCCCCTACCGCACTCCGTCCCTCCCCCCGCCACCGCTCTTCCTTGTACCAGGTCCCCCCCCGGTAGACCCCCTCCCCCCTCAGGGTCCTGCCCCTTCAGGTGTGTCCCAGGTAGACGCTGTTGAGCCTGTCGAGGTCGCTGGTGACTCTGGTGCTGCTGAGGGTGCTGAGCCTGGGGGTGCTGACTCTGGGGGTGCTGAGCCTGGGGGTGCTGAGTATGGGGGTGCTGAGTCTGGGGGTACTACGACTGGGGGTGCTGAGCCTGGGGGTACTACGCCTGGAGGTGCTGAGCCTGGGGGTGCTGCGTCTGGGGGTGCTGAGCCTGGGGGTACTACGCCTGGAGGTGCTGAGCCTGGGGGTGCTACGCCTGGTGGTGCTGTGCCTGGCGGTTCTCCGGGTGCTCCTTCTCGCCGGGAGCCACTCTCTCCTCAGGAGCTGCGTGAGTGGTTTGACCGGCGCTGGAGGCGAGCTGCTGGAGCTGGAGGTGCTGCGGGTACTGGAGGTTCTGTTGCTGCTGAGGGAGCTGGTGCCACGGGTCCCGGAGGTGCTCGTACTGGGAGTACTGGAGCTGCTGGACCTGCGGGTACTTCTGGAGCTGGAGTTGCTGCGGGTGTTGGCGCGGAGGCTACTGCTGTCGGTCCTGGAGGCGGTCCTGCTGGGGGTACTACTGGTGCTGCTGGGGGTTCTGGAGCTGGAGCTGCTACGGGTGCTGGTGCTGTCCCTCCTTTGTCTGGAGTCGCCGCGCGGCCTCGGCCGTACTTCGTTCCGCTCCTTCAGCAGGTTCTTGGTCTCCCGCCTTCCACTGGTCCTCCTCCTCCCTTAGAGTGTCCACAGCCTGTCCCGTCGCAGTTACAGTTACAGCCGGCCTCCCCACTGCCTGCTCCGTCTCCCTACACTGGTCCTACTGGAGGTCCTGCTGAGCGTCGTGAGCCTGCGTCTCGCCCTGCGTCGCCTGTCCGTGCTGCTCGCACTAGTGGTCGCGGTTCGCGTCAGCGTCCTCCTCCTGTCCCTGGCACGCACCGGATGTCTCTGCGTCCGTCCACTGCTCCTCTGCGTGCCCCTTTGCCTTCTCCTCCTGAGTCTTCTCTTCCTGCTCTTGCCGACCCGGAGTCGGACTCTCTTCGTGCTGCCAGTCCTACTGTCACGCGTCTCCTTGCTACTGTTGTCACTGACCCTTCCTTTGAGTCCACTGCTGCGTCTGCCCTAGTTGCTGAGCTCGTCGACTTTGCTGCTCGCTGTCGCCTAGACTACGTCGCCAGTCTTGTTGCTGAGTCTGAGTCTGTCTGTCCTCCGTCCGTCGGGGGTGAGTGTGCCCTTGGCACGGACGTCCTTGAGGACAGGCAGGAGGAGTTCCAGTGCTTGGCCGCTGCTTCACCTCATCTCGTGTCCGTACTGCTTACCCCTGAGGGAGACCCGGATGCACTTGACATCCCGACTCCGCGCTCTTACGCGGAGGCGATAGAGGGTCCCTACTCCTCTCAGTGGCAGGCAGCTATGGACGCAGAGATGGCTTCCTGGAAGTCCACAGGCACCTACGTTGATGCTGTTCCCCCTCCTGGGGCGAACATCGTCAGTGGCATGTGGATTTTCAGGGTGAAGCGACCGCCGGGTTCTCCGCCTGTCTTCAAGGCGCGTTACGTGGCTCGTGGCTTCAGTCAGCGGCAGGGAGTTGACTACTTTCAGACCTTCTCTCCCACCCCGAAGATGACCACTCTTCGGGTACTGCTGCACGTAGCTGCTCACCGTGACTACGAGCTACACTCTCTTGACTTCAGCACTGCTTTCTTGCAGGGCAGCCTGCACGAGGAGATCTGGCTGCGTCGCCCACCTGGCTTCACTGGGTCTTTTCCTCCTGGCACCCAGTGGAGCCTACGGCGGCCAGTCTACGGTCTCCGCTAGGCACCACGTGAGTGGCACGACACACTGAGGACTACACTTGCGGCTCTTGGGTTTGCTCCCTCTACTGCCGACCCGTCGCTGTTTCTACGCACCGACACTTCTTTGCCGCCGTTCTACATCCTCGTGTACGTCGACGACTTGGTCTTTGCCACAGCTGACACTGCAGGACTAGCCCACGTGAAGTCCGAGCTGCAGAAGAGACACACGTGCACTGACCTGGGTGAACTGCGCAGCTACCTTGGCTTGCAGATCACTCGGGATAGAGCACGCCGCACCATTACCCTGACTCAGTCACACATGGTGCAGCAGGTCCTTCAGCGCTTCGGCTTCACGTACTCCTCGCCTCAGGCCACTCCTCTGCCTACTCGCCACTCGCTCTCAGCTCTGCCTTCGGATGAGTCCGTAGAGTCGAGTGGCCCGTACCCAGAGCTTGTTGGCTGCCTCATGTACCTGATGACCTGCACACGACCTGACCTTGCATACCCTCTTAGCATTCTTGCACGCTATGTTGCTCCTGGGAGACACAGACCAGAGCACATGGCTGCAGCGAAGAGGGTGTTGCGCTACTTGTGCAGTACGTCGGGCATGGGGCTTGTGCTTGGAGGGCAGAGTCCAGTGGTCCTTACTGGGCACGCAGACGCTTCTTGGGCTGACGACCAGGCTACGCAGCGGTCGTCACAGGGTTACACCTTCAGCCTTGGTTCCGGCTCTGTTTCGTGGCGGGCTACTCGCTCGTCTTCTGTTCTCGGCTCCAGTTGTGAGGCTGAGATCTACGCAGGAGCCATGGCTGCACAGGAGCTTCGCTGGCTCACCTACCTGCTGACTGACCTCGGAGAGTTGCCTCGTTCTCCTCCAGTGCTGTACGTAGACAACAAGGCCATGCTGGCCTTGTGTCGGGAGCAGCGACTGGAGCACAGAACGAAGCACATTGCTCTCCGCTACTTTCTTGCTCGTGAGCTGCAGCAGCGTGGTCAGCTGCGTCTTGCGTACGTGGCCTCTGAGGCCAACACTGCTGATATCTTCACCAAGGCGCTTGCGCCTTGTGACCATCAGCGCTTCTGTACTCAGCTGGGCCTTGTGCCTACCTTGCCTCACTTGCTCACCTCTTGACCTTGCTTGTACTGTTACATATATATATACCTGCTCTTGCTTGTCTAGCCTTTTTTATATATATGTACTCCTGCATGTGAACTGGCCTTGTGGCCTTGAACTTGTGCTCGGAATGTGTGGTGACTTTGTGATCCACCCTGAGCTTGCTTTGCTTTGCTTTGCTTGACTGGTCTTGTGACCCCTTGTTCTCCCCCACTTTGCCTATGGGGGTGTGTCAGAACATTATAGCTCATGCATATTGTGTAGGCTATAGTGGGGTAGTCCATAAGGGGTACAACCCAATTAGGGTTAGTACTTGTACCCAATTCATTCATAGTTCATTCATTCCTTGTTTCTTCTCACGACCACCCTTATTCATATATGTAAACCTATATTATA